GGTTATTAAATTGGTGCAAAACTGTCCACTCACTGCCATCTAGTGGTGACTGTTGGAAATAGCTCAGATTTTAAGCAAAATTGAAGTTGACCTTGTAATTCTGCTCAATGACTGCTTACACAGGCAGAAATTGGTCCTCTTCCATCATGTCACATCTAAAATCAATCAAGACAGTAAAGCAATGCTAGAGCCTGCAACTATTGTGGTTGATGTTTATCACTCTTTAACTTCTTCCCGAGATACTAGGAACTGCAGATGCTGGAGAATCTGAGATAACAAGGTATAGAGCTGGATGAACACAGCAGGCCAAGCAGCATCAGAGGAGCAGGAAGCTGACGTTTCGGGCCTAGACCCTTCTTCAGAAAAAAAAAGTTCCAGAGAACTCCACAGGTTTAGCAGCCTCAGTGGAGAGAGGTACAGAGTTAATGTTTTGAGTCCAATTTTATATTTTGCAGAACCAAAGGATGGTCATATTCGACTTAGAGTCATAGAGTTACACAGCACAGAAACAAATCCTTCTGTCCAACTCATCAACATTGACCAGATATCCTAAACTGAGCTGGTCTCATTTGCTAGCATTTGGTCTATATCCCTCTAAATCCTTCCCATTGTGTACCCTTTAAAATGTTGTAATTGTACACATCTCTACCATTTCGTCTGGCAGCTCATTGAGTTTTCTTGTGCAGTTGTCTCCTGAAATGTATTACATATGCATGCATGAGTAAAATGCCAAATTTAATGGACAGGTGATGGATGGGAATGCCTATGGAGAGGATTTTTTGCCTGGTTCCCAGGCTCTAACATCCAGGCACTATAGCTAAAAGACACCTGGACATTACATCGCTCCCTGCAGCCCAGGAACATCACTCAACCTCTTTAAAGTTTTAAAAAAAGCTTTCCCTTGGGTAGGAACACCTCTGCACCCTAATCGGATCAAAGTTCTTATCGTTACCTTTAGTTCTTGACCGTTCTGGGAGCAATTTTTGTCTCTCAGCTGCTCTGTCCAGACCTGTCTCGACTTTGATCACCTTTTTCAAATGTCATTGTAACCTGTGTTCTCTACGGAAACCACCAAAACTTCTCCAATCTATCCATGTAACTGAAGGTATCTGTTGGACTTGTGCCAAAAATAATGTGTGTCAACAAACCTTGGCATTTTACGCACTCTGAAATTTTCTAAACTCTAGGGCTATGGAGGAGGGGAGTTACTCTGTTTGTTTCATTCAATGAGATTTTAATTGTATTTAGCAAAGGTTGCTTTGTTCAGTATTTCCATAGGAATTGTAAACATAAATAGCAGCAGATTAAAACCAGAGTGTAAAGAACTGAATGCTTATACTGTGTTTCAGTAGCTGGTGCCTAGAGCTATTCTCCCTTTCACCTTAGTATAAGCGTGAACGAAGTAATAATTATCCCTCTTTGGCTCCTCCCTCTCTCTGTAACCATTCCAACCCTCTAACATCTCCATACTTCCCTAATTCTAATCCCTAATGTTCTTTAATAAACTATTGGTTGACTTGTCTTCAGCTGGCAAGGCCCTAGACCCTGAAGCCCTTCCTTATACCATTCCCACCCCCCCTCTATATGTTACCTGTGTAAAACCTAGTCCCTTGACCTGGTATTAGGTCACTTGTCTGACTACTTCCTTGTGTAGCTTAGTGTCATGTTTTAATTTGTCATTGCTCCTGTGAAGTGCATTAATACATTTCACTATTTCAAAGACAATATGTAAATATAAATCAGAAGGCCATAGGTTCAAGCCCCCCTCTGAAATCTTAAGTGCAAAATCCAGGCTGGCATTCCCAGTGAAATACTAAGGGAGTACTACACTGTAAGAGATGCTGACTTTGAAGTTACATTAAACCATCTGATGTCTCAGATGAATGTAAAAGATTCTGTGACACTCAACAGAGGCAGGGAGGCAGCAGTATGAGGGTTTGGGTTCTTTCTCGTGTATTGCCCAATTTTTATCAGTCAAACAACATTTCCCAAATTACTATAGCAAATGCACCTCAAGGCTGCTAAAGCTTTGCAATATGCTGTAGTAATGAATACAACATGGATACTGCACCCTTGGTGAATGTGCTGCGGGATACCCAACACATTTGCCTCTAAATTTTAAAAGGCAGAACATCAGATCAGGATGAACAGGTTAAAATTACATAGTCAAATTTATTTGGAGAAGGAATGATACACAGAAGCAGAAAGATGTTAAAGTCTAATAAAAAGGAACAACATGTATTTTGAAGGACTCATTACATACTGACTGCCACCTCTGAGAATTTTACACGAATCAGGACTGAGAGCAACAAAAGATAATTTAGAGAAAAGGCTCAAAGAAGACTTACTTTAAGGCAGAAAGGACCGAAATTTGCATTTTACGTAAATGTAACAAGCTGAAAATCAAGCAATACAAAGATGGATCTATACGGAAGGGATGATGAAAGATGCTTAAAAGGAGGAGTTCAACAAGGCAAGGGAAAAGGCAATGAAGGAGCAATCACAATAGTGATGCAGAGAAATTCAGAATTAAAAATTGATGCCATGTCAGAGGAACTCAAACTTATACTAGATAATAACTATTGTGGAAGCAATATATATACTTCTGCGCGCTGACTCTTACTGCTGAGGCCATATGACTTTCGATCTCATTACATTTTCTCCTTTGCAACACTGCCACTTTTGCTTAGTATGGGTCACCTGTCCTGAAATCTTCTGATGTAGTTTGGTGTGAAAATTTGTCTGATTGTGTCCCTGTGGAGTATCATGAGAAAGTTGTTGTTGTCTGTTAACAACCTAGCATGTGCTAGTGTCTTCAGGGAGAAAATTGGCAAGCCATGAAAGATGATGTGAAGGGCACCAAATGTTAATAAATGCTATGGTTGAGGAGTTACCCTGTTCCTGGTGTATTGTTGGATACAGGTTTGGAAAAAGGCAGTGGTGTTGCGCTCTGGTTTAAGGAGAATGATGTAACATTTTGGTAAGAAATATCCGACAGTGATGGAATAGGTATTCAGAAGAACAACAGCTGCTTCAACACAAGGTATGAAACTGTTAGGACTGGAGAAAATCACCAAAAACAGGAATATCCAGGAAATCAAGACCACGGCCATGCTGAAGGTGATGTATTTAGCCTCATTGTAGTTTTTGGGGAGATCTTTACTCAGGTAGGAAACCATAAAGCAAAGCAAGCAGAGAAAGATAGGTCCACAAAAGGACAGGAGTGAAAAAAGAAAATTTGTGGGACCACACGTCAGAATGCTTTCAGTTTGTGAAATATCATTGATCCTCTCAAAAACTGGAATCTTACGGATTATCCATATGAAGAATGATGTGATCTCAATGACAGTCATTATAAACACAAAGATATACTGCCCATTGTATTTAACCCAATAACTGTAAGCCTTTGGCAACTTGCTAGCCATTTTGAAGATAAGCACAAGCTGAAAAGACCTCACGAGGAGACATGCCAAGCAAGTTGTGTAGCTGACTGTGAATAACAGCTTCCTGGTGATACAAATCCCAGGACTAGGTTCCCCAATGAAGGAGTACACACTGCTGCAGCTGAAGGCTAAGGCCAACAAAAGGACAAAGCACAACTTCCCTCCTGCAGCCTTGACAATGGGAGTGTCAAAATAAATGACAAAGATGGCACCAATCAATACTTTCAGAACCAGTCCAATTCCTGTTGCCAAAGCTATCACAATAGAAATATTCTCATTCCATCTCAGGTACACCATGTATCTATTATGACAAATCGTGCTCTTTGAGGGTGACCACTGGTTTGGGTTGCAAGGTATACACTCTGTAAAAGAAGACAAAAGTACTTTTAGGATCAAAAAGTTGGCTTGAATTTTTCCATTGCCCAAATTACAATCTTCAACATAGCAAAACAGATCAAAGCTGCTCTACACCAAACAGGCACTGAAAGAAAGGTTAGCGAGGTGATCAAAATTTGGTTTAAAGAGGGATTTTTTTTCAGGAGAGATTAGAAGGCAGAGAACTAAGAATTAAATTGTGCTGGGGGTAGAGTTAGGAAATGACAATTCTAGTGGAAAAGAACCTCTACCTCTGTCTGCAAAGTGGAACAGAAAGTTTGTGAGAATGCATTGGATTCCGGATTCGGAACAATCAGAGGGTTGTGAGCTGCAATGGAATGCTGGAGAAGATGACAGAGGCAGTGTGAGACAAGGTCGTGGACTGATTCTAAAACCTGTTTGTTGGTGATGAGGAGTCAGGTCTGAAGTGGGTGGGATACCTGGATGTGCAAAAGTTATGGATGTGTTGGAATCAGTGGAGGGGGAGGTTAAGAAGTCAGTAAGAAGTGTGTTGGAGAAATCGAGTCTGGAGATGTTTCTATTTTCAGGAAGTTCCCTGATGTTTTATTAGGTATTTATACTGCAAACATGGAACAGAGGCCAAATGCAGCTGAAGAAAATTTGATTAGTGCCTGAATGAAAATACAGAAGAGGCAAATGAATGTGGTTGCTGAGGATAGTTCTGGTTAAAGAGTTAATACTAGTGCAAGTGTGATGCACTGAGTGGCCTCTTTCTACACTGACATTTCTATGATTCTGCAATCTTTGAATTGGATCAAAGTTCCTGACAAATTGTGTAAACCTGTCAATAAATCTATCCAGGAAATCCCTTTGTTTCTGCTGCATTCCCAAAGGGACTGGCTGGGAATGGGAATTTGTCCATGAGGCAATTTGGAAAGAAGATTGTGTGTCATTACCAGAGAAAACCGCAAAATGCTCCTTATATTGCTTATCCCCGCCATCCCATCTCCCATCCCTGTCCTCCTCTCCTCCCTCTGACCCCTTTCTGACAGAAACCATCTTGGCATGGACTGCTTTATACAAACCGCTTTCATTCTGGAATGTTCCCTCAACGCAATCCTTGCAAATAAAGCAACATGGTTGGAAACCAACAGTAACTTTTATCTGGCCAGGTTCACATTCAGTGGAACAGTTTGAAGTAGGAATCTGTTTGGAACAAGACAGTAATGATTGCAAGTTTTAAAAACGATCAGTTTTATGTGCTTACTCTTTAAGAAGATATCAGTTTTCCCAATGTTTAGGATTTGGCCTGGCTTTAATCTCTTAAAAATCAAATAATCACGATGTCTAGGGCAACATTTGAAGAATGGCTGCTTGACAAGATCCTTGAGGGTCAAAGATGTCTCATATCACCCCAGCTTCACTACACCAGCAAGAATCAGTATCTTCAGTGATGTGAGAAAGAAACTAAGGAAGGAAGTATTATTTTGAAAGAAGAAACTGGTCTCAATATTGAGTGAGAACTCAGCTAAGTTACCTTGCCTTCTGGTGAATTCCATTTGATCAAGGAGCTATCAATTTGAAGCCGTCCTGGTTTGGGCTTGTATGACCCAATCACATTGAAGGAAACAACCTCATGTTTCCAATCCCAGTAAATGATGTCATATCCTGTTGGGGGGTTTCCATTCTCATCAAAAGAAATTGGCACTCCATTAAGGGAAAAATTGACTGTCTTCAGAGTCTTAAGAAGCTGGAAGAGAAGTCAAGGGTAGGGTCAACTGAAGGGCTTTAGGCCGAAAGGCTATTCATGTAAAAAGAAGACAGCTAATAACACCTCAAATTGTCAGGTAGCTTGTGGATGGCTTTGAGAATGCCATGCTCCATCCATGGAATGTATAGGATCAGTTCCTCTCAAGAGAATGTATCAATTAATCTCAACATTCTGAGCTTCTTAAAAAAATGCATATTCACAGGCTGTAAGTCCCACTGCAAACCCATCGGTTATTGTACTTACTTATTCAGCCGAGTAGCTTGCTAGGTTATTTCAAAGGGGAGTTAGGAGTGCTGTAGGCCAAACCAGGAGAGTTTCTTTCCCTAAATAGCATTAGTGAACTAAATGGAATCTGGCAAGTTTGTGGCCACTATCATTAATTCCAGTTTTTAATTCTAATACTTTCTTTTATTAACTGAATTTAAATTTCCTCAGCAGGATCTCAACTTATGCCTACAGATCATTAGTCCAGCTCTCCCAATTATTCATCCAGTAGCATAACCATTATAATAATATGCAAGGATAGGCCAATCCACCAAAGAACTCAGAGTTTCCATTCCAGATTGCTATTCATTGGGCTGCGGCCAAAAGTATATGTTTAGACATCAGTGGTGGGTCTTGATTCTTTTTTTCACTTCTACACGGAAGCAGACAGTTTTAGAATTTATTGCCAATTCTTAAATGCTCCTGAACAGGTGATGGCGGTGAACTATCTTCCTAGGGATGGTGAAAAAATGCCAATAGTGTGTCGGTGTTCCAGAATTCTGAGCCGGTGATTGTGAAGGAATGCTGATAAAATTCCAAGGATAGATCATGTATGACTTGGAGTGCAATTTGCAAATCATGGAATTCCCATGTGTTTGCAGTCCTTGTCCTTCTAGGTGGTAGAGGTTGTGGGTTTAAAAGGAGCTGTTTACGGAGACTGGGTCAGTTGCTGCACTACATCTTGATTCCTCCACCGCTGATGGTAGAGGGAGTGAATGATTATGGTATTGATGACATGCTAATTAGATGGGCTGCCTGGATAACGTCGAGCCTCTTGAGTGTTGTAGGGCCTGAACACATCCAGTCAAGTGGAGAGTAATCCCTCACACTCTTGATGTACACCTTGTAGTTGGTGGAAATGTTAGGATTTGTGCTGTTCACCACATGATTTGCAATGATTATTTGACCCACTCCTGTAGACACAGTATTTGTATGGCCTGTCCAGTGAAATTTCTGGTTAATAATAACCCTCAGGTCATTGATGGTGGTGGATTCAACAGTGGCAGTGCTGTTAAATGCCAAAGGTAGATGCTTAGATTTTCTCATGGTGGAAATATCCATTGTCTGACACTTGCAGCTGCTATCATTGTCCTTCTTCTTGGCAGAAGTCATAGGTTTGGAAGGTGCTTTCAAAGGAGACTTAGTGAGTTATTGTAGCGCATCTTGTAGATGGTACACACTACTGCCACTGTGCATCAGTGGCGGAGGGAGTGAATACTGAAGGTGGTGGATGTGTGGTGCCAACCAAGCCAGCTTCTTTATCTTGGATGGCATTGAGCTATTGGGTTTTGTTGGAGCTGCACCTATCCAGGCAAGAAGAGGAATTCCATCACACTCCTGACTTAAGTGGAAGTATTGGGAAGTCAGGACGTAGATTACTTGCTGCAGAATTCCGAACCTCTGACCTGTTGTTTCAGTCACGATATTTATGGCTAATAGAGTTCAGCTTCTGGTCAAGGGTAATCCTCAGGATGTTGGGGATTCAGTGATGGAAACACCTTTAAATGTCAAGGGGTGATAGTTAGATACCTCTTGTTGGAGATGGTCATTTCCTGGCACTTGGATCAAAATGATCTCTTGGTTAAGTTGCCAGATAGTGGAACTCTAGCCCAGTGTACAAAAACAGAAGTTGCTGGAAGCTGAGCAGGTCTGGCAGCATTTATGAAAAAAAAAATCAGAGTTAATGTTTCAGGTCCAGTGACCCGAAATGTAAACTCTGATTTTTTTTCTTCACAGATGCTGCCAGACCTGATCAGCTTCCAGCAACTTCTGTTTTTGTTCCTGATTCACAGCATCTGCAGTTCTTTCGTTTTTATCGAGCCCAGTGTAGATGTTTCCAGGACAAGGCTTTCAGGATGAGAAGAGGATTGGGATCTGATTCAATCATCATTCCTGCATTCATTGGGATACATTAGCTCAGATTAAGCATCACATGAATCTTAAAATTCTCATTCTTGTCCTCTTTCTAAGGCTTCAATCCTCCCTATCTTTGTAATCCTCTTCAAACCTTAGCCCTTTGAGATTTCTGCTCTCTTCCAATTCTAGCCCGTCTTAGAAACACATTGCTCAACTACTGGAGACTATGCCTTCAGCTATTGAGACCCTAAGCTCTGAAGTTTCCTCCTGAAACTCCTCTGCCTCTCTATCTCTCACTTTGTCTTTAAGACGCTCCAAAAAGACCTACTTCAACATATGGTCATCTGCTGCGGCATACTCTTTTGTGGATGAAACTATTGTGTTCGAAACTGTTCTTGTTTAGCACCTTGGAACATCTCACTATGTTAAAGGCACTACATAAGTGCATGATGATGTTGTTGGGCAGAGAATTGAAAAGGAAGATTTGAGCAGCGCTCATCATATTCTCGATAGGACTATTATTATTTCACAATTGCTGATGTTAAGTTAAAATGGAAATTTTGAAGAAATTGGAGATAAAAATTGGTGGATGTAGAGTGGGCTGAAAACCTGCTATCACTTGTTTTGTGCCGCCACGTAGAAACAAGATTTACTGGCAATAATTTCTGAGAATATTGTTGAAGTTAAAGTTTGCATTGAGTAATTTTCTAACCTGCCATGGGTAGGCACTTTCCTTCTTGCAGTTTCCTGAATCACACTGAAGTAACTGATGTAGACTGTGGGCTGCAGCATACACAGCAGAGTACACATTAAATTCAATGCGCCACTCCGAATACTGTAACAGTGACTTGACACCATCTGTTGTGCATGGGATGCATTGGTTGCAGGTAGCCAGGAAGTTATTATCTGGGCAGTCTCGCCTTTCCCTCTGTTTTTCAGAGTATTTTATGCTTTGACTGACACCAGAATTCAAAGCAATGATATCCCGTAATACAAATTTGTCGTATCCTGGCATGTGACCCTGCATTATTGCAATCCCTAAGATAGTGCCAATTCTCTTAATGTTGGGGATTTGTGAAAGTGTTCTCTTGACAGACATAGCTTCACTTAAAATCCACACTTTTCCAGTGATGTTCATGGCTACCACTTCCTGGAAGAAATGTTCTGCATGATGGACATCAGCGAACACGACAATAACATTGACTTTATTGGCAGTGATGGTGTGAATAATGTTGATAATTTCCTGCTTTGACTCTAATTCGTGCTGTGGGATTGTGCCATAAGATGCCACACAGATTCCCACTGCAGTGGCACCTGAGATCATTTTGCGTTTTCCAATCTCCCCGTAGTCACTGCTGCTCCCAATCACTGTGATCCAATTCCACCGAAACTTCTGGATCAATAGAATAATTGCTTCAATCTGATTCTCATCATTTGGGATGGTTCGCATAAAGTTTGGATATTCTGTCTTGTCACTCAGTTGCTCACTGGAGGCTCCATAGCTAATCTGCAATGGAAAGATGCAATCACTCATTTTGTAGCTAGTCACCATCCGATAATATTGGTGATTTATATTAAGTCTATTTAACCCATCACCCCGGGCTCACTGACTTCCATTGACTCCCAAAATAACAATGCCTTGATTTTAAAACTAATATTCTTGTTTTCAAATCCTTTACTCTCTCTGTTATCTCTTCCAGTTCACCATCACCAGGGCAAGTGGGGATGGGAATAAATACTGGCCTAGTTAGAAATGTCAACATCCTGGAAATGAATAATTTTTTTTGAAAGGCCCTAACAATCACCCTTCAGGTCATTTCTGTGACCCTCTAATTCTGACCTTTTGCGTATTGTATGTTTCTTTCACAGCATTGTTGGCAAGTGTGCCTTCAGCTGTCATAGCCCCAAACTCTTCAAATTCGTCCCCAAGCCCCTCAGTTTATCTTTCATTTCCTCCTTCAAGATGCTCATTACACACTATCTCTTGAATTTGTACTTTGTTGTCTGTTTCAATATCTCTTGATGTTTTTAAAAAAAATTCATTCATGGAATGAGGACGTCATTGGTTGCACCAGCATTTGTTGCCCATCTCTATTTGCCCAGAGGGCAGTTAAGAGTCAAACATATCTCTGTGACATATAGTCCAAACAAATTTCCTTCCCTACTGGGCATTAATGATCCAGATGGGGTCTTCTTGACATTCAACAATGGATTTATGGTCATCATTAGACTGTTAATTCCAGATTTCTTTTCAATGAATTCAAATTCCACCATCTACAGTAGCAGGATTCGAACCCGGGTCTCGAGAGCTTTACCTGGGCCTGGGATTAATAGTCCAGTGATAATATTATAACAATGCCACAAGCTGTTATGCCACAAGGCCATCTCCTCCCCACTTGTGATGTGCCTCAGTTTGAATACACTCCTCTGAAATGCCTAGGTACTAGGCATATTAAAGGCACTATATAACCTTAAGTTGGAGCTTTTGTTATTAAAAGATGAAGGAAACCCAGAGGTCACAGAGTCATAGAGAAGTACAGTATGGAAACAGGCCCTTCAGTCCAACTCATCCATGCCAACCACATATCCTAAATTAATCTAGACACATTTGCCAGCTTTTGGCCCATATCCCTCTAAACCCTTCCTATTCATAAACCTGTCCAGATGCCTTTTAAATGTTGTAATTGTACCAGCCTCCATCACTTCCTCTGGCTGTGCATTCCATTAACGCACCAGTCTCTGCATGAAAATGTTGCCCGTTGCGTCCCTTTTAAATCTTTCCCCCTTACCGTAAACTTATGCCCTCTAGTTTTGGACTCCCCCACCCGGAGAAACAACCTTGTCTATTCACCCTATCCATGCCCCTCATGATTTTATAAACCTTTATAAGGTCACACCTCAGCGTCCAGTGCTCCAGGAAAAATAACCCCAGCCTATTCAGCCTCTCCCTGTAGCTCAAACTCTCCAAACCTGGCAACATCCTTGTAAATGTTGTCAGAACCCTTACAAGTTTCACAACATCCTTCATATTGCAGGGAGACCAGAATTGCATGCAGTATTCCAAAGGTGGCCTAATTAATGTCCTGTACAGCCGCAACATGACCTCCTAACTCCTATACTCAATGCACTGACCGATAAAGGCAAGCATACCAAACACCTTCTTCACTACCCCGTCTAACTATGGCTCCACTTTCAAGGAGCTATGAACCTGCACTCCAAGGTCTCTTTGTTCAGCAACACTACCCAGGACCTTACCATTAAGTGTATAAGTCCTGCCCTGATTTGCCTTTCCAAAATGCAGCATCTCACATTTATCTAAATTAAGCACCATCTGCCACTCCTTGGCCTATTGGCTCATCTGATCAAGATCCCATCATAGTCTGAGGTAACCTTCTTTGCTCCAATTTTGGTGTCATCTACAAACTTATTAACCATATCTCCTATGTTCGCATTCAAATCATTTATATAAATGACAAAAAGCAGTGGACTCAGCATCAATCCTTGTGGCATACCACTGGTCACAGGCCTCCAGTCTGAAAAGCAACCCTCCACCACCACCTTCTGTCTCCTATCTTCAAGCCAGTTCTGCATCCAAGTGGCTAGTTCTCCCTGTCTTTCCATGTGATATGACCTTGCTAACCAGTCAAACCATGAAGAACCTTGTCGAACACCTTACTGAAGTCCATATAGATCACGTCCACCGCTCTGCCCTCATTGATCCTCTTTGTTACTTCAAAGAACTGAATTGAGTTAGTGAGGCATGATTTCCCACATTCAAAGCTATGTTGACTATCCCTAATCAGTCCTTGTCTTTCTAAATACATGTAAATCATATCCCTCAAGATTCCCTCCAACAGCTTGCCCACCATCGATGTCCGTCTCACCGATCTATAGTTCCCTGGCTTTTCCTTACCGCATTTCTTAAATAGTGGTGCCACATTAGCCAAACTCCAGCCTTCTGGCACCTCACCTGTGGCTATCGATGATACAATTATCTCAGCAAGGGGCCCAGCAATCACTTCCCTAGCTTCCCACAAAGTTCTAGGTTACACCTGATCAGGTCCTGGGGATTTATCCACCTTTATGTCTTTTACGCTGTCCAGTACCTCCTCCTCTGTAACATAGACGTTTTTCAAGACGTTGTTATTTATTTCCCCATGTTTTATATCTTCCAAATCCTTCTCCATAGTAAACACTGATGCAAAATACTCATTTAGTATCTCCCCCATCTCCTGCGGTTCTACACATAGACGGTCCTGCTGATTTTTAAGGGGCCCTATTCTCTGCGTAGTCACCCTTTCAAAACCCAAGAAAGTAATTGGTGTAACTTTACCTGAGGAACATCGAGCAAGCTGAGAATGTTGGATGTGATGACAGCGGCATCTGATTTCAATGGACCAATCAGTACTGAGGCTAAAGGCTGGTATCTGTGATCAAACTGGACTGTTTTCACCGCATGTTCTGAAGGCTTTGACACAAAAGCAAATGATCCCTGGATATCGATGGTAATTGCACAATCATCAAATATCTCATACCCAAGGGTGACATTTGGCAGAAGAGAACTTGAGTTGTTTATCTCCTCGATTGCGAACCTCATGGTTTCATAAAGTATATACCCATTATCTGAAAACCTAGAGAAATATTTTAAATAGGGATTTTATTTCGAAACATTATGTTGATTTATCTGTGCTGGAAATATTAATAAAAAAGACAAACCTTGTTAATATGCTTAAATCCTACCAAGAATTTTATTGTAGAGAAGGTTAGGGATTAGGTGATTTAGATGAGGGAACTAAATGTAATATCTCAAAATATGCAGATGACACAAAACTGGGTGTAAGGATGAACAGATGTGGAGATGTTGCAGTATGATTTGGACAGGCTCAGCGAATGGGCGAATGCCTGGCAGATGAGGTATAATGTGGATACATGTAATATCCACTTTGGTAGCAAAAATCGGAAGGCAGATTATTTTTGAATGGCTGTAAACTGATACAGGGGAAAGTTTAACAAGGAAGAGTCTGGGGAAGGGCCATCGGACCCGAAACGTTAACTCTGTTTTTTCCTTCACAGATGCTGCCAGACCTGCTGAGCTTTTCCAGCAACTTTGTTTTTGTTCCTGAATGTTTAACGAGACCTGGGTGCCCTCATGCACCAGTCACTGAAAGTAAGTACGCAGGCACAGCTGGCAGTAAAAAAGGCAAACAAAATGTTAGCCTTCATAGCAAAAGGTTTTGAGCACAGGAACAAGGATATCTTGCTGCAACTGATGAGGCCACACCTGGAGTATTGTGTGCCATTTTGGTTTACTTATCTGAGGAAGGATGTTCTTGTTATAGATGGAGAGCAGCAATGGTTTATCAAATTGATTGCTGCGATAGCTGGACTGACGTATGAGGAGAGATTGAGTTGGTTAGGATTGTATTCACTGGCATTTAGAAGAATGAGGGAGGGCTCTCATAGAAACCTATAAAACTCTAACAGGTTAGATATGGGAAGGAGTGAGTGAGTCCAGAACTAAGACTCATAGTTCAAGGATAAGGGGTAAACCTTTTTGCACTGAGATGAAAAATTTCTTCACTCAGAGAATGGTGAGTCTGTGGAATTCACTACCACGCAAACATTATGTGATTTCAAGAAGGAGGTACATATAGCTTCTGTGGCTAAAGGGGTATGCGGGGAGGGTGGGATTAGGGTATTGAACTCAATGATAGGCCATGATCATACTGAATGGTGGAGGGCCTGAACGGCCTGCACAGCTCCAATCTTCAGTGTTTGATATTTAACCTGATATCAATCTTTTGGTTTTGGGGAATTCTTATTTTAAACAGAGAAAGATTAAGGTAATAGGGAAGGACAGCAACAAGGTTGTAAAGTGTTAAAGTGGTAAACCAACAGAATAGAAATGTTGTTAGATATAGGCTGTGTGAAAATTCTACAAGTTAAAAGTTAAAAAAAGACATGCGTTTGTATAAAACCTTTCATCACAGCAGACATCGCAAAGTTCTCTTCACTAATTGAGTACATTTGGAATGTGGTCAGTGTTGTAAGGAAACACAGCAGCTAATTTGTTTACTGTAAGCTCCTACATACAGCAATGTTGTAATGATCAGACCATCTGTTTAATTTAGTGGAAAAAGAGGGGAGGTGTTTCATCATATTGTATCCATAGGAGCAGTATTTAACAGCAAAGTACTTTTGAAGTGTAGTCTTAGTTAGAATATGGCAGCCAATTTGCACACAGCCAGCTCTGACAAACAGATCAACGAGTAAAAGATGCAACAGACACATTCAGAGAGGTATTGAAAACCTTTGACAATCATTTCAACCTCAGAATTAATACAACTATACAAAGGATTATTTAACAGAAGAATTCAGCATCCCAGGGAATCTGCAGATGACTTCATTATTGATCTCTACAGACTAATGGAGAGATTGACTATAATGACTTAGAGTCAGAATTCATAAGTTATAGGCATTACTGATGAGACTTTGTCAGATTTATTACATACAATGAAGACCAAACTCTAGGTAGGGTCGTCCAACCTTTACACATGGGAGGCCATATTTCAATTTTTCTCTCATTTGGTAGGCTGGTCAGCAAATTTCAAAAAACTGACTTTTGACGCAACAGTCAACATTAAATGAGCAAGTTTAATAAAATGACATTGAAAAGTGCCAAACAGCAGAGCCAAACAGTTCTTTTTTTTAGCTGTCTTGATTAAGAACTGGAACTGGAGAAATTCACTAGCCCTCAAGTCCTACGCATCAGGGAATGGCATGCAAATTGGGGCCAAGGCAAATTGGGCTTAACTAATACTGACCTTGCATAAATGTTGGTAGTACACACTCTAAGCTAATGTCGGTGGATTCATACATTTGTAGGTGTCGGAAGTGGGTTACCTTTCAGACTGCGTTTCGAACTCTCCCAGCATGGGAAGGATTTTGCAGAGTACAGGGAGGGAATCGGGTGATGTGTGTCTGCCTCATGCAGTCTCAGGGTTCACTCTCTCTCTTGCTGTATCAGATATTTGCAAAACACACACACACGTGCACACACACACACACACACACACTCTCTCTCTCTTTCTATCTCTCTCTCTCTCTCAGTCCCTCCAATGCACACATACACACTCTTTCTCTGCACCTCCCTTCCACTCATGAACATTCCCTCTATCCCTCCCACACATGCATTTTCTTTCTCCGTGTGCACAATCCCTCTGCCACTCAAACATTTTCCCTCTACACATAAACTGATAATGGTATGTAGTATACTATTCTCATTTTAGGAATTTGGACTTTAAAGATGAAGTAAAATAGATGTCTAGCTTCAGTTCTGTGAAGGATTTTGTTGTTAAGAGCTCAGAAAGTCATTGGGAACAGTAAAATATCTAATAATTTTGAAGAAAGCTTCTGACTTTAGTCAGGTGCCTAGCAGGATTCCTGTGTGAATGAATGAAGTATTTGCAAAGTGGAACTGTTATGACATAGAGAAAAAAGACCAGGGGCCATTAGTGACTTGAGTTCATTGTCGAGAAACAGTTTCATCCCAGCAGAAGTGCAGCCTGTTCATTATATAGAAATCTCTAGACCATGAGAGATTAGTTTATGAAATCTCTGAGCTGTGAGAACTGTGTAGAAATTTTCAACTGTCAGAACCGAAAAGAGGTTTAGGACATTAGAAATGGAAAGTGTCTATCAGATAGGAATTAAGAGTTGAGATAGAAGTGGCACTTCACTTGGATCAATGATTCATAAAGGCTATAGCTAGGTAAAAAAGTTGAAACTTTGTTTTGCTGTTTAAAATTAAAATCTTTCTAAACAGTCTTATTTGGATAACAATGCTTATTTTTGTTTTTGTTTTCTTTTGTGTAACTAATTTGTGTTATTTTGTTGAAGAACATTGACAGCCTTATGTGAATATGTTCAGTAAGTGACCAACAGGGTAATATACTGCAAGCATTAAACCTACGATCTATCAAGCCAGTGTTCATTCTGGGATCTGAGTTTTCTCGTATTTCCATCAGCTAGATCATAACAACAGACTCTTCCTCCCTCGCACACATTGTCTTCCTTGCACACATGCACATGATCCCTCTTCCCTTCATCCCCACACACACACACACATAGACCTTCTTTCCTTCTATACAATCACAAACTACGCACACATACAAACACACAGACGCACACATACAAACACACAGACACACACACACAAACACACACACACACACACACACACACACACAGGCACACAGATACACACTCCATCCCACATGCTCACATTGTGTGGGCTTGGTTAGGGTTAGGGTTTGGGGTGACTGCAGTTCTTTGAGGGGCCAGATTTGTACACAGAGGACAAAGTTTCATCAGATTGCAACCCAGCTGAGTCACACATTTAATACAGAGGTAACTAGGAAGGGACAATTTCAAGTAGAATATCTCTCATTCCAAATACGAATCCATAACAGTTATAACAGATATGACATCTAGCAAGAAGAAATCTTCAGATAACACAATTAAGTTAGTAAACAAATTTATTTAACCAATAATCCCATTGCTGAGGGTGACCACAAAAGTCTAAACTAATCAACAAGTTGAAGTAAAAAGTCTCCCATTCAGTTTACATGTCGAGCTGGATTGACGACAAATATCCATTGCCATAAATTGAAGATGTGGTACACGTAACTCCCTGGAAGTCACCACTCCTTCTTGCCTTAGATTTGGAGGAGCAAACTGTATACAATTCTCCAACTATGGTCTCACCAAGACCCTGTATAATTGCAATAAGATTTTCTTGCTTCTATACTCAAACCCTTTTGCAACGAATTCCAACACACCATTTAGCTTCCTAACTGCTTGCTGCGCCTGCATGCTTGTTTTCAATGATGTTATTTATCTTCAATTTATTTTCAAGGTAATTTTCAATTTTCAATTGCCATTCTATTTTTTTAACTAAAGTGGATGACACATTTATTCACATCATACTGCATCTGCCATGTGTTTGTCCACTAACTCAATTTGCCTGGAGTGCCCTAAAGGCTCTTTTTGATCTTCTCATCATAAGAACTAGGAGCAGGAGTAGGCCATCTGGCCCCTCAAGCCTGCCCCGCCATTTAATAAGATCATGGCTGATCTTTTTGAGAATCAGCTCCACTTACCCGCCCACTCACCATAACCCTTAATTCTTTTACTGTTCAAAAATTTATCTAGCCTTGCCTTAAAAACATTCAGCGAGGTAGCATCAACCGCTTCACTGGGCAGGGAATTCCACAGATTCACAACCCTTTGGGTGAAGAAGTTCCTCCTGACCTCAGTCCTACATCTGCTTCCCTTTACTTTGAGGCAATGCCCTCTAGTCCTAGTTTCACCTGCTAGCGGAAACAACCTCCCTGCCTCCACCTTATCTATTCCCTTCATAATCTTATATGTTTCTATAAGATCTCCCCTCATTCTTCTGAATTCCAATGAGTATAATCCCAGTCTACTCAGTCTCTCCTCATAATCCAACCGTATCAACTCTGGAATCAACCGAGTGAATCTCCTCTGCACCCCCTCCCGAGCTAGTATATCTCTTCTCAAGTAAGGAGACCAAAA